GGGGGGGGGGGGGGGGGGGGGGGGTGTTGGACTCTGTCAGTGCTGCCCATTGTCACCAATTCTGTTCATAACTTCGATGGACATCATTTCTCGGTACAACTGGGGGTGGAGGGATTCCAGTTCAGTGACCTTAGAATTCCAACTCTGCTCTTTGCAGATGACGTGGTCCTGTTGGCTTCATCGTACCATGATTTTCAGCTCTCACTGGAGTGGTTCATAGCCAAGTATGAGGCGGCTGGGTTGAGAAACAGCACCTCCAAATCTGAGGCCATGGTCCTCAACTGGAAAAGAGTGGATTGCTTTCTTCAGGTTGAGGCAATGCTGCCTCAAGTGGAGGAGTTCAAGTATCTCGGGTGTTTGTTCACGAGTGAGGGAAAAATGAGGTGTGAGATTGGCAGACAAATTGGTGCAGCATCTACAGTATTGTGGACTCTGTACCGGTCCATTATGCTGAAGAGGGAGCCGAGCTGTAAGGCAAAGCTCTCTGTTTACCAGCCAGTCTTCAAGTGGTAGGAATTATACTGTGTAGAACAGGGGTGCCCAACCTTTTTTGAACCAAGAGCTACTTTTGAAGTCGGCAATTTGCCGAGAGCTACTCGTCCAGTCTCATTATCAACAAACATAATTTTTCATCAATCCCTACTCCTCACTTATTTAAAGTAAATAAAACAGAACGTGATGTGTCTATAGGAGACAACTTTTTATGCAAGCTGTATAAAATAAATGTGTCTCTACCTTAGTGGGACTTCTGACACTGAGAGGAGGAGGCCAGGGTCTCATAAGCTGGGCAGTATGAGGTGGTTGCGAGGCGCAGGCAGGTCTCCAGATGATAATCATTCATTGTGGATCTGTTTTTGGACTTGATGATTTTCATGTGTGAAAAAGCAGACTCACACAGGTAGATAGATCCAAAAAGTGCTGTTAAGTTCAAAGCACATCTTCGAATGTTAGGATACTTTTCTTCTGACAGCAGACTCCAGAACTCTCCATCCACGCCAGGTGATGCTCTGGATTTGATCCAAATGTCATTTTGCAGAGTGCAACAAATCCACTGGTGTGACCAGTCATTGCTGGAGCGCCATCAGTTGTTATAGAAATTAGTTTAAAGAGGGGCAAGTTGCTTTTATTAACAAACTCCATAAACGCATTAAAAATATCTTCTCCTCTTGTGTGTCCCTTCAAAGGCAAGATAGTGAGCAGCTCCTCTTTTGCACTCATGTCTGCAAAGGCCATTCTGATAAAAACACACATCTGGGCTACATCCACCATGTCTGTCGACTCATCAAACTGAAGAGAAACACTCACATTGTTCCACGTCCTTTTTTAGCTGCTCCTCCACATCCACAGCCATTCCCTCACATCGCCGTGTCACTGTTTGTCTGGACAACTGCACGTCTTTAATAGCAGCTACGATCTCACTTTTATTTTTAAAATCATGAAAAAGCGCATCTGCAGCCTCAATAAACGCTTCTTTCATAACTTGTCCATCGCTGAAAGACTTCTTATGTTGAGCCAGGATGCGGCTAACACGGTAGGAAGCTATCGTAGCAGCTTTACCTTTTGTGCTGGGGCGAGTGAAGACTGACTGCTGTAGTGAACCAGATGACCTCAAATCTACCAGATGGACAGAGACTGTTAGTTTCATTGATCTGAATTAGTCTGGGCCATCTGATGACTTTCTTTCTTGAATTAATCAAGCAGAAAAGACAATTCTTTATAATCATTACTGTCTTACAAATGTTTTGATAATCAAATTGTGTTAGTTCACTCAATGCTTATAGGTTGAAAAGAACTACTCATCTTTATTTTACATAAACAGTAAGTAATGATTTTTATTCCTCATTCCAAGAAGAAATCACCTGAATAAGCATTCCTTGATTTTCTGTCTGAAATGAGTCAAGTCGTAAGTATGTGAAAGGTTGGTTTTCGGTCAACTAAAATGTTTACCGAGAAAAATGTCATGTTTAAACTTTTTCAGAAGATTACCAAGAGTTGACTCCACGAAGTCTGCTGTTGCTGCAATAATCTTTTCTGTATGTGAAAACAAATTTCATTCTCTGACCTCGACCGTTGATAAACACCTTACGTCAAAACCACTCCTCTTTCTGGTCCTTCCACGAATCAGAAAGCTCTAAATTGAACAGGAAGTCGACCCAAATAAAATGTGGCAACTTCCCAGTTCATGGTAGATTGAGAGTGATATGGAGTTCCAAGATTGAGAGTGCAGCCGGTTCTGAAAGTTTCAGAGCAATGAAGAGTCCAAGAGAGCAATGAAGAATCCAGAGGTTTTTGGGATTATAATTCTGTTTTGAGCTAACTACGCACGACTCTCTGAAGGTTTGGTAGTTCTCGACGGAGACGCTGAAACGAGTCAGAAAGGAACTACTCCGACGCTGATTCATCATCAACAGGTAGATGGTTCTATTTTGACCAAGTGTACCGTGAGAAGCTGAGATCGGACGGAGCGTGCAATTTCTGGTTAAACAGATTAAATTTCCCTCACATATTTCCTCTGTAAGATAAATCTCAATTTACTCTTAAACTCACCTCTCTCTCATAAATCAGTGCAGATATTTTTAGAAATATCTGAAGCAAAGTCCTCAAATCACCGCCGAGTGATTTGAAGTTCATTATTTGTGAAACTGTCTGTTATTATTTTCATATTTTGCCAAATTAATGTAAATGTTTGATGTTAAACTTTGATTCTGAAAATAAATGATTCCATTCATTTGATGGGTCAAAGGTAATAACGTCTCTTGTTCGCATTCCTTTAAATTCAATGCACGGCATTACACAGTCAGAAAGATGAAGAACTCGTGAAAAGTATGCATAAATATATATCCATATATTTGTCATACAACAAGTGACACGTACCTCACGTGACTCACTACACTGCTGTGCGGCAAGCTTGTTTTTTAGCTCCCGCACTTTCTGAGTCCGTAAAGAACTTTTAAGAGGGAAATCTGTCTCAAACCGTTTGTGCATCGTCTTGAAATGCCGCTCCAAGTTACACTTTTTGGGTAAGGCAACGCTCGAATTACAGATGAGGCAAATGGACTTCGAATTAGAATAAACAAAAAAATACTCCTCCTCTCACTCTGTGTGAAAATAATAAGTTTTCGTTTGCTTGTTCGCTAGTTTTCCATCCATGTTTTCTGCGCACCGACATTACTCTACTACTGAGACTAAAGTCTCGTGAGAGCTGTGTCACCGCACACAAAACTCGCGAGACTATGTCTGTGAGAATACAAGTCAAGGCTTCGCTTCGCGGGAGACTGGGAACCAGCGACTGGTTGGGCACACCTGGTGTAGAAGAATGAAGGTATTTTTTTTTAATTTTATTTTTTTTATCTATTTACTTGTTTGAGGAGGGAGCAATTTTATTCACCCCCAAGTGCAATGTTAGAGCCAGGGAGTCATCAGTGGTGGCTTTGGCCTCCATTGATTAATCTTTGGTGACCTCAGTCAGTTGGTGAAACTAAAAACATTTACAAGTACCTTTTTTCCCCCCAAAAAAATGTGTAACTTCTTATATGCACATTTGAAATATTTTTAAGTTCCACTGTGAATTGAAAAATTGAGATTTTCCAATCAGTTAATTCTGTTTTTATTCAAATTTTACACAATATTCCAACTTCTTTTTGCAATTAGGGTTGTGGATAAAAATAATCTATATAATCTAATTACAATTCTACATAACATAAAATTATGAAGTTTTTAAAAATTTCTTCAGTTTTTGTTCAGTTTATTTAAAAATCAACACTTTTTTAGATATTAAATATTTTATCAAATAATAAGCAACAGAGCACTGAACAACAACTCAGAGCTATGGGTCATAAACAGCCACCTGGAAAATCAGATTTTTTTGAGGTATGAATATTCACATACAAGTTTTCTTTTTTTATTTTTCTGTCTGTGAGCTTTAGATTTATTTGAAGAGTAACAGCAATATTTTTAGATAAATATATCAGAGTAATAAAAAAAATGATACAAACAATGACTTTTACTTAAGTAAGACATATGAAACAACATTACATTTGTTGCTGAAGAATAAAAGCTGCTAATAGTTGACAAAGAAATATATAATGGAGAAGCATAATGGCACCAAATATTTCTTGTAATAATTTTCTAGACTTGCTCATGATTTTATCTTGAAACAGATCTTTTGCAACATATTACATGAAAGACTCTTTTTCGTAATTGAGTCAGTCTGAAACCATAGATGAGGGGGTTGATGAGCGGTGGAATGAGGATAAACTCAATTGCTATAAAGTTCTGAACATTTTGCGGTAAGTCCTTTGTGCCAAATCTAATGTACATCATATCAAAAAGCAAAGAAAAAACAAGAACAGCCAAGGAAAATAAATGTGGCACGCACGTCTGCATGAACTTTTCTTTGTTCTCTTTGGATGTTTGGCATGTTTTGACAAGACAGAAATATGATGAAATAATAAAAAGAACATGGCCAAAATAAAAAGTGTAATTAAAAGCTGGGACAATAACGTGTGCTACAGAAGCAGAGCAAGCAAGATTAGAAATCAACACATTGAGGCAGTAGATCTTTGGTATTTGTGACCCACATAACTTTGATGTTGCTGTTGTTATTGTGCTAATAAACAACAGACAAAAGGGTAGAAACCAAGCAATAAACACATAGATACAAACCCTTTGTTTAGTCATCACAGAATGGTACACCAGAGGTCGACATATAGCCACATATCTGTCGTAAGCCATTAGAGCCAACAAAGAAACGTCAGCACCAACTGAAGAATGCAACACAAAACCCTGCAGAAAACATCCAGGAACAGAGATGAGATGAGAGCTTGACAGGAGATCATGGAGGAATTTAGGATAAAAGCCTGCTGCCCCATACAGTCCATTGATGCATAGATTACAGAGGAAAATGTACATGGGTTCATGGAGGTTTTTATCCACAATTATTGTCACAACAACTGTCACATTTATGAGCCAAATTGCACAGTAACACAGTAAAGTAAGAGTGAAGAGAGTTACCCAGTAACTTGTTGTCCCACTTAGCCCTGACAAAGTAAACATGGTGATTACAGACATATTATACATCATACAATGTTAATTTACCATTTTCTTTCACAGACATGCACACAACCTCATTTCTGAATAGAGCCAGGTGTACCTTGTTCTGTCTTTCCTTCTCTCCTGGGTTGTCAGGAGTTTAATAGTCTTTGACGCAGTGACATATTAGGGTGTTTCTTTCACAAGGGATTTCTACAGCCTATCAGTAATTTCAGTGTTCCTTTCATTAACTTGACTGCTGACTTTTGGAACATTGCAAGACTAAAGTGATGCATGGTTGCCAATCAAATGCACCTGAGAACATGCACAAACCAGTGTTTTGTACTACAATCATAGTTTTAAACCTCTTAAAGTTTCAAATCTGTCAATAACCAACATATAAAGGTGGAGGAGTTTATGCACCTGAATGATCCTAGGAGCTTTGCTGTCTGGGGCAATTATAATGGCCTCTGGTAGGGTCTCCCAAGGCAGATTGGTCCTAGGTGAGAGGACAGACAAAAAGCGATTCAGAAGACGCTTATATATAAAAACAAACAAGGAACTCAATGTCTCTTGCCCGGACGTGGGATACCGGGGCCTCACGCTGGAGCCAGGACTGATGGAGGGGCTCGTCTGTGAGATCCTGGTGACTGTGTCTTTACCCCTGGGGCCTGGTCAGGCTCAGCCCAAATGAGTAACATGGGTTTGCCTTCCTGTGGGCCCACCACCTGCAGGAGGGGCCATATGAGTCAGGTGAATGATGCCATGAACAGTAGCCAAAGGCAAGGACCTTGGTGCTCTGACTCTGGCTTACCAAAGCTGACTCTTGGGCCATGGAATGTGGCCTCTCTGGCAGGGAAGGAGCCTGAACTTGTGCATGAGGTTGAGAGGTACCGACTAGATATAGTTGGGCTCACCTGAATCCACTGCATGGGCTCTGGAATCAGTCTCTTTGAGAGGGGCTGGATCTTATTCCACCCCTGAGTTGTCCATGGTGAGAAGCGCTGAGTTTAAGGGGGTCTATGTTTAGCCTCCCGACTAGATGCCTTATGTTGGCGTTTTCCCCGGTAGATGAGAGAGTAGCTTCCCTGTGATTTTAGGTGGGGGGATAAGCTCTGATGATGGTCTGTTCCTATGTGCTAAATGACAGTTTAGAGTATGCAGCATTCTTGCAGTCCTTAGTGTGGGTGCTAAAAGGTGCACCAGCTGGGGACTCCTTTATTCTGCTGGGGGACTTCATTGCGCACGTGGTAATGACAATGTCAACTGGAGTGGTGTGATTGGGAGGAACAGCCTCTCTCATCTTAACTTGAGCAGTGTTCTGTTGTTGGACTTCTGTGCTAGTCATAGTTTGTCCATCACAAACACTATGTTCAAACAGATGGGTGTCTAGAAGTGCACTTGGCACCAGGACATCCTAGGTCATAGATCGATGATTAACTTTGTAGTCGTGTCATCTGATTTGCAGCCGTTTGTTTTGGACACTCGGCTGAAGAGAGGAGCTGAGCTGTCAACTGATCACCACCTGGTAATGAGTTGGATCACATGGTGGGGAAGATGCCGGACAGACCCGGTAGACCCAAGTGTGTAGTGAGGGTTTGCTGGGAATGTCTAGCAGAAGAACCCGTCAGAAATATCTTAACTCACACCTCTGCAAGAGCTTTAACTAGGGTTTTAACAGACTACTTGAGTAATCTACACATCGTTTCCTAGGACATCTATTGAGTTTTTTTATTTCACGTCGAGTAGTCGTGGTGATGTCATTACGCAGCCGTTATGTTGTTGTGTCACGTGTCACATGATCTGCACCTGGCATGGGTTACAAAATGGATTCCTCCAAGCAGACAGATGGAGCGGAGCAGGCCCAGTCTTGGCAAACAGGTAGAAATGCATCAATAGTATGGAAATATTTCACTAAAGATGAATCTTCCAGTTCAACTACTGTAAGGAAACAGAAAATGAATCAACTTCCTGACTGTTTGGGGCTCGTTGCGAACCGGTGTTACACCATTTCCTGTGACCACCGTATATTGTGACCGTAGGGGGCGGTGTTGCAGGTCACAGAATATGGTGTAACAACAGGTCCAATCGACCGAACCAGAACCAGCTTCCTATGACCTTGTTTCACAAACAAAAAGCAAAAAATATTATTCTCTAAACCTATAAAAAAAACTATAAACATATTAATCTCTAAAACAAAGGTCTTTTTCACACCAGATAGTCTGGTAGACTCGGTTCGGTTTGGGACCAATATTCATAACCTTTGGTTTACATTTGAGCTGGTACGTTTATATTCACACTGCACTGTGCAGTCGAGTCAACCTGTTGAACCAACCTATTCCCCCGCTCGCCTGTGGGGGTGCTACACCAAGAACTACTGAAAGACACTACACAAAAACCTCTGAAGACACGTCTTCTTCTTCTTCTGTAAATAAAAACAAAACGAAGTGGCATCAAGTTTTAGCAGTTTTAGGAGTTATATTTTGTCATTTTTCAAAAATGGACTTAGCATGAGCAGAAGATGAGAGAGAAGACCATGGAGAATATTGTTTTTCCACACAAGGCAGCTGACGGCTCCATATAAGGTCAGAGAAATGTGTGTTTGTTTGTCCTGTGGAGCGGGTCCGGTTTGATTACATTCACACTGTACTCGAACCGCGCTGGAGTTCTCTTCTACCGGACCGAGACCTAGGTTTTAGCCCGGGCCAGAGTTTGCCTTTTTGTTCCGTGACAGAGTTCGATGGTGCGTTCACACCTCCCTAAACGAACCGGACTTTCTAGGAAAACGAGCTAGAGTTCGATTAAAGCGGACTAAACAGGGCTGGTGTGAATGCACCCTAAACCTAATGCGCACCACAGCTGGCGGTGGTGCGGGGTGGTCGTCCGCCCCACTGTTTTTAGTTTCGTTTTTAACGTGCCACATGTTTCTTTTACTTTTGCAGTTTAATAATAATAACTAATAGTTTAGTTTTTCCTGTGACTTATTTGCAGTATGGTACATGGTAGGAGCATAATATATGCTCCCAATGTTTTGTTGGTCTTTTTTTTGTAAATAATTACCTTTTTTGCGGTTTTATTTATTTATTTATTTTTGTATTTTTAGATCCTATGATGTCATCAAGTACTCGAGTTCTACTCGAGTTTTATGTTAATGTTGAGTTTAAAAATTATGTAGTCGTTCAACCCCTAGCTTTAACTGTATCCCAGCTGAGGCGAGGGACATTGAATCAGAGTGGGCCATGTTCTGCTCCTCAGTTGTTTAAGTGGCTGCCTTGAAAAAAGGCTGCAAGGTTGTTGGTGCTTCTTGTTATGGCCATTCTCAAACTCAGTGGTGGAACCCCAGGTTAGGGAGGCTGTCAAACTGAAGGAGTCCTATTGGGCCTTGTTGGCTGGTGGGACTCCAGAGGTAGGTGAGGAGTACCGGAGGGCCAAGCGGTCCACAGCCTTGGCTCTTACTGAGACAAAAGCTTGGACGTCGGAGGAGTTTGGTGAGGTCTTGCATAAAGACTCTCTGTCAGCTCCGAGGAGATGCTGGCAAACCATCAGGCAGCTGAGGAGTGGAAAAAAGCTCTTTACTAACACTGTGTTCAGCGAAAGTGGGGTGTTGTTGACCTTAACCAGTGATGTTGCTTGGAGGTAGAAGGAAAACTTCTCAGACATTCTCAATCCCTCCGGCACATCATCCTTGGAGGAAGTTGAGTTGGGGGACTCTGGGTTTGGTCTATCCATAACCGTGGCTGAGGTCGTTGAGGTAGTTAAAAAGCTCCGTGGTGGCAACCGCTCCAGGGGTGGATGAGATTCACCCTATTTCTTTAAAGCTCTAAATGTTGTGAGGATGTCTTGGTTGACATGGCTTTGCAACATTGCGTGGACATTGGGAGTACTGCCAATGGATTGGCAGACTGTGGTAGTGGTTCCCCTCTTCAAAACAGAGGACCAGAGGGTGTGCTCCAATTACAGGGGCATCACTCTCCTTATATTCCCTGGTAAATTCTATTAAGGGTTACTGGAGAAACGAGTCCAATCGTTGGTCAAACCTCAGATCCAGGAGAACAACATGGGTTCCGTTCTGGCCGTGGAACACTGGAGCAGCTCTTTTTCCTCACTAGGGTCCTCAAAGGGTCATGCGAGTTTGCCCATCCAGTCTACATGTGTTTTGTGGACTTGGAGAAGGCCTTTGACCGTGTTCCTCAGGGTACACTGTGGTGGGTGCTCCGTGAGTATGGAATTGGGGGCCCATTGTTACAAGCTGTTTGGTCCCTATATACGCAGTGTGAGAGTTTGGTTCACATTGCCGGTAGTAAGTCAGACCCCTTCAGCAGGGGTAGTTGGACTCTGCCAGGGCTGCCTACTGTTACGATTCTGTTCACAACTTTTATGGACAGAATTTCTTAGTACAGCCAGGGGGCAGAGGGATTGCGGCTTGGTGACCTCAGGGTTCAATCTCTGCTTTTTGCTGATGATGCGGTCTTGTTGGAGTTATTGTGTTGTGATCATGAGCTCTCACTGGAGCAGTTCACAGCCAAGTGTGAAGTGGCAGAGATAGGAATCTGTACCTCCAAATCTGAGGCCATGGTCCTCAATTGGAAAAGGCTGGATTGTTTTCTTCAGGTCAAGGGTGAGGTTCTGCCTTAAGTGGAGGAGTTCAAGTATCTCAGGGGTTTGTTCACTAGTGAGGGAAGAATGGAGCGTGAGATTGACAGACGGATTGATGCAGTCTCTGCAGTATTGCAGACTCTGTACTTGTCCATTGTGGTGAAGAGGGAACTGAGCTGTAAGACAAAGCTCTCTGTTTACTGGTCAGTCTACATTCCTATCCTCACCTATGGTCACAAATTCTGGGTAGTGACCGAAAGAATGAAATTGTGGATACAGGCGGTTGAAATGAGTTTCCTCCGAAGGGTAGCTGGACTCTCCCTTAAACATAGGGTGAGAAGTTCAGTTATCCAGGAAAGACTCAGAGTAGAACCACTGCTCCTACACATAGAGAGGAACCAGTTGAGGTATTTTGGGCATCTGGAAAGGTTGCTCCCTGGGCGCCTCCCTAGGGA